CCACGACAAATACTGCCAAAAATACAACAACTGTTGCTACAAAAAGAAGAAAAACAACCCTTTGATTTAACTTTACACGATTCCCAGGTGCATTTATTCAGGTGGCGGCAGGGGGCAAGGGGGGAGGGAAGAATGCTATCCTGCACTACAACTGCTATTCAAGGTAGCAGTAACCCATCATTCTCTAAAAAATCCAATCCATGTCTAGTTTATTTAACAGCCCCTATCGAGGAAACCTGTAGCTTTAAAAATTTAACTAGTCTCTGTTATTTCACATAATACGACCAGATTGACAAAGACACCAACAATCAAAAATGAGTAATTTTTTGCTACATATTCTGTGCTACATGATCATATCCCCACCCTCATACTAGAATTTGACGCAGACTAGACCTTAGTAACAGGTAAAGGTCATCAGAAGCGAAACACTTGCCAATCATTTTCAGATTTTCGCTGGTGACATTTAAAGGACTGAGTTTTGTCAAGGAAAAATATCGCCACAACACTGGTTGATAGAGAACTGTACCACCACGACCACGACCATAAGATCATGTCTGAAAGGTATGAACGCTGTAAGTACCAGTGTTATGGAATTAGTCAATGTTCGCCCATGATCAGTGGCTGAAATATATCTTGCTCAGCCATGTTTTGCCTTTTCCCTAGCTTCACTTAGCCATCGTATCACTATGGAATATGATATCTTAATTACTTCACAAATTTCAATGTCTTTCCTCATGATCTGAGACGATCAACAATTTCCATCGGCTTGATTTAACTGTTCCCACCATATGCTATGTGGTACTTTCGCTAATCTAGACAATAAGTATATAATATCACTATTCTTAAACATTCCTGAAAATAAACAATGAATTTCTGTTCATTCGCCTCGTATGAGATGTACGACAATATCAGTAAATTTCGGCCACAGTTGAAGGACCCATACCCGCCTTCCATTCAGACTGGAATTAAGTGGTATAAACATGCTGTGGAAGACATGAAAAGATTAGCTGTCTTCGATCATAGGTGCCTGCGTTCTATCTCCCGTGTGAAGCCGTATAATTAGGTGAGCCTCATCCGAACTGATAGATGCTAGAAGACTTATTCCGGCGAGCTCCGAATTCAATGAGGAGCGAAAGCTGCACAAAAGGAAGCTTACGAAAAGTCTCCGCAAGGACCGTGAATAGTGGTGGCTGACAAAGGCAAAAGAGATGGAAAAAGCATCGGCGATAGGAAACACCAGGCAACTCTTTAGACTCATCAGGGAAACGGGAGGGAGAAGGCAAATCATAAGTAAGACTATTTCTGAGAAAAATGGCTCCTTAATTAGCTCTCAGGATAGACGCCTTGAACGCTGGAAAGAACACTTTGAGGGACAATTTAACTTGCCTACAGCCACACTGAACCTCCCCGACATCCAGCACACACCCGAATGGGATATAGACACTGGTCCGCCGTCTGTAAGTGAGGTCACAAAAGCTATCAGTAATTTGAAACGAGGCAAAGCGGCAGGACCCGACGGAATTATTCCGGAGGTGTTTAAATATGGGGGTGACATACTAGTTTGTAGATTAACTGAGGTACTAGGCAAAGTCTGGGAATCAGAGACAGTTCCATCAGACTGGGGTAAGTCACTTATTATACCGATATTCAAGAAGGGAAACAAGTCCTCGTGTGATAATCATAGGGGGATCAGCCTAACGAACATAGTCTCTAAAATCCTAGGCTCAGTAATCATGCATAGACTAAGCAGAACTCGGGAGGAACAGACAAGGGAAAATCAAGCAGGCTTTAGACCAGGTAGAGGGTGCATAGATCATATCTTCACTCTTCGACAGATTCTAGAACATAGACACACTTTTCGGCGTCCAACAATTGCCATATTTCTTGACTTGAAGGCGGCCTTCGACTCCGTGGATCGAAAGGTACTATGGCAATGTCTGACTGTGAAGGGAGTGCCAAGAAAGTACATTGCACTAATCAAGGCACTCTATTCAAACTCACGTAGTCGTGTAAGGGCTTATGGGGAATTGTCATCTGAATTGGTAACAACCAGTGGTGTCCGACAGGGATGTCCACTTTCCCCATTTCTGTTTAACTTCATCATAGATATGCTAATGGAAGTATCCTTAACTGAACGTAGTGACTTAGGAATCGACTTGTTACCAGGGAATAATCTTATGGACTTAGAATATGCAGATGACATAGTCCTGTTAGGGGAGGATGCTGACAAAATGCAGAGTCTTCTGAACACCTTGAGCAGCAATCTTCGTATGTTTGGCATGCGATTCGCCCCTGCAAAATGTAAGATGCTGCTACAGGACTGGACCACGTCAACTCCTAACTTAGTGATAGGGAGTGAAGTGATAGAACATGTTGACCACTTCACCTATTTGGGAAGTTGTATTAGCACCAACGGACTGATTGGCGATGAAATCTCAGCACGGATCCGAAAAGCTCGAGCTGCTTTCGCTGACTTACACCATCTCTGGCGTAGGCGTGACATCCGGTTATCAACCAAGGGACGTGTGTACTGCTCATCAGTTCGCTCCGTCCTTCTCTATGGCTCTGAAACATGGCCAATACGCGTTGAAGACATGAAAAGGTTGACTGCTTTCGATCATAGATGTCTGCGATCTCTGTCTCACGTTAGGTGGTTTAATAAGGTAAGTAATGTTGACGTTAGGCGTAGAGTGTTGGGCAAAGAGGGAAAATCAATCGACGAGGCTATAAAGTTACATAGACTAAGATGGCTAGGTCACGTGCTGCGCATGCCTAACCACCGCCTCCCCCGACGGGCATTATTAGCTGATATAGGTGCAGGTTGGAAAAGAGTCAGTGGTGGCCAAACAAAAACATGGCATCAATCCATGAAATCCTTGACAGTTAAACTGAGTCAGGTAGGGAGATGCAGACTTCCGGGTTGGGGCCCTCGGGACTCTAGGAATCAATGGCTGGAGACAATAGGTGACATGGCTCAAAATCGTTGTCAATGGCCAGCGCAGATGTATTCAGTCTCTGTAATCTTTCATATTCCTTTCTACCATTACCCATTCTGTTTCACTCTTATACATGTGAAACTCTATTAATTCTCTCTCTCTTGTCTAGCTTTGTGTGCTATTTGGAACGTGGCAACTCGAACTGCTGCACTTCGGTGCCAAGTTCTGTGTTGAATCCAGACAGACAAACAATACACAGCACAGACAACGCACCATACAAACTTACGACGAATTTTAATGAATAATAAACTAACTAAACAGCCATGATGTAGGGTAAATATAGGACCTTGGAAGTGGACATTCATTATGATATCCAGTGATAATGTTAAAAAAAGAAAACAGTACTGACAGGCAAAAGACCTGATCGTTTTCAATGTTTGTAGAGGTTCATGCAATCATAAGAATCCAACCAAATGTGTTTTTGTTCGAAAGATGATGATCATCAACTCTATGATATTCTTGAAAAATGCATAGGATTCCTGCTCGATGACCAGTACTTTCATCTACTGGACTCAATATTACTTACCTAGGTCTCATTGTTTCCAAACTAATTTATCGTCTTTTTTTCTTTTAGATTTAGATAAATTTCACAATTATTTGATTAGTCGCCACAAAATCAAGAACACTCGACAGTCTAAGCTTCAGATACTCGGTTACTTTTTGATTTGGCTTCTAAATCATTTCTTAAATCTCAAGATTTCTAAAGTCTGCCTTTCAATAAAAAGCAATTGAAATACATTTGAGAATTAATTGAATAACAACCTCTAGTAATTTTATGTGGCGTACAAATGTAGAAAGCATAGGAAAAATAAAGTCATTCTTGATTACATCTTTCGAACCAAGCAAGGGAATAAACTACTGACACCGATAAGTAACTTAAGACCACAGTCTTCAAATACTTTCAAACGTTTTTCAGAAGGTTTACTAGTACTCTTTATTTTAAATTAACTATGATGGTTTCGTGTTATTCAGTTAGAGACTCAGTGTCTACGCTTAAAATGAAACTGAATTTTTCAAATTTGGTGGGCATCTCATCTAACAACGCATTAACTGGTTCACTTGTGTCAAGCTGTTTGTCAAAGTTTCGGAGGAGTTACACTAGCATACAGCTTGTCATAAATGAATTTATTTCACTTATGAACATCGACCAAATAGTATGACATTTAAGCAATTACTTTCTATTCTCATGACTGAGAAAAAGTGACAAGCTTACTAGAACTCTCAGGGACCAAGCACATTGAGCCCAAGGCTCTTCTAGACCATAAACCGTTATACTTGTCACATTTATTGTCTTGAAAGTGGAGTACTGTGGAGTTTTGAGAAATCGCAGTATAACAGCTACGTAAACTTCACAGAGGGTAGTAAATGGCCCTGTATTATAATGCTTAAATATTCATTGGCAACAAAATAACATCAAAATGATTTAACCATCTATGCATAATCATGTTACTGCATGACAGCTCGGAAGAAAATCTTTGTGGACATTAATCCACAGCAGGTTTCTAAAATATGAAAATCCACGATGTGAAAGTAAAAAAGCGGATATAATATCCTTATAACACCATATACATTTGGTACATTAGTTTTCACCAGTTGTTCGTGGCAAACTGGCTTCTCCAAAATTCTTAAGACTACCTAGATAAATCTGATGAACCTGTGACTTACACAGCGAAACGTTCAGAAAAATCTTGTTTTGAATTTCTTAACACGCTGGGATTAATTTAAATCATTTATAATCAGACAACCTTATTAGTTATCCAAAAAAGCAGATGAAAAATCTTCAGGAAATCTGGAGGTTTCTGGATCAAAATAATATAAGAATCTGGGGGAAAATTCAAAAATTTCCCCAAAAAAAGAGTTGAAACTGTTAAAAACACTAAATTACGCCTAAATCTCTGAAAGTATCCTCAAAGCCACTCAATTACACTAAAATAAACGTCGAAAGTTCGGATTAGCCACAATTATTGAATCAACTGAAATTTTCACACAAAAATTAAAACTTACGTCACTTCTCCTGTCTCGATATGGCGACTTGTAAAATGCAGCATCCAGGAAATCGCAAACATCTTTGTCTCTTGGCATACCGCACCACACAGTTCAAATTGAGCGCTGCAGTAATAAAATCAGACGCCGTTATTTAGATGTCAAATTGACGACACTAGAGTAAAAATTATACAGGCATACAATACCTCACCACTTTTACGATTTTTTTCTATGTAAAAGCACCAGTGCATAAATAATGCAGTTGTGGGTCGAATTTCAGACTGAAATAGTGAATTTATTGTTATTATTCCTATGGGTTCCTGAAGGGATATATTGCTTCAGCAGAACATCTTCAACTTTTTCTGTTCTCTGCAGCTATCTTTATTTTACTCCGAGACTTTCAAAACTGCTTAGTTAAGTGAATGCAGTGACCTCTTCCAACTTTCGTCCGTTGACTCATACGTCTTCGTTGGTTGTTTATGTTCATAACCTCCATCTTCAGATCTATTGGTTGAAGATAGAAGGCTTGGAGCCTATGTTAATCCTTTTCTAGTAAATTTCTGTGGTTGTCCAAAACCTTCTTGAATGAATCAGCTGAGGACACCACTTCTTCTGGGTGTCGGTTCCAATGTGGTGAGAGCAGGCTGCTAGCCGATTGGTTGACACTAAGCTACGTTAATATGGGCCGTGAGAAAATATGAACAAGGCTGAGTCAACAACCAATCACAGCAAAGTTAACGTGGCAAAATATGATTCGCAGATAGAGAACTCTATTTGTCGAGGAATCCCGAAACAACCAATCAGAAGCCTGCGTTTGTCTGCCTAACTTCTGATAAACAACCAATCAGATAACTGCGCTTGTCTACTTGCATAAGCTATAATAATGTATGTGAAATATGTATAAATACGTGTTGATTTTCATAATAAAACGATCTGTTGCCTGGCCCTTGTCTTCTGTTGTTACACCAAGAGTTTATGACTCGATGTGAGAACCAGAACCATTAGGGATTACCTAATGGATAGAAGGTGGAAGGTTAGAGTTGACGGTGTACAATCAGGGTGGAAAGCAGTATTCAGTGGAGTGCCTCAGGAAACTGTATTAGGCCCCTTGCTATTCCCATTACACGTAAATGAACTACCGGGGATTCTTACTTCATTTTCATTATAATTTGCAGACGACATTAAGATCTGGAAAACTGTAAATAATAACGAGGATAGGTCGGCACTACAAACTGATCCAGATAATTTACCTGAGTGGTCGAACCTGTGGAGTTTGGAAACAAATGCTAGGAAAGCGTGGTAATGCATTTAGGTCAGAAGTCTTATACGTCGTACTCCCTAGGGGACACAGAACTACCTGGTGTTAACGAACAGAAAGACCTAGGAATCATTGTCAGTAATGGTGTGAAAGCAACTGCAAATTGCAGTGCAGCCGCAGCTTAGGCTTTCCGAATGCCATGGGCACTTTGAAGAGCTTTCAAACGATTAGACGAGAGCATGTTCAAAATACTCTACGCAGCATATGTCAGGCCTCATCTAGAATACTGCATACAAGCGGCAAGCCCATGCTTCGAAAAGGAGGCACATATCCTGGAAAGAGTACAGAGAGTATGAACGGAATTAGTTAGTGGTATCTCACATCTTCCTTATGATAAGAGGATGGAGCATTTAAATCTCTTTCCGTTATCATACCGAAGGAAGACAGGCGACTTAATTTAAGCATGCCGTATACTAAAGGGTGATTTAGGAACCGACCTTTCTAAACTTTTCTCCCCTACTAGGTTACATTTACGGGGTCACCGCAAAAAGGCGCTCAAACCGAGAATGATTAAAATAGGTGCAGAATTTAGATTCTGTCATAGAGTGGTCAACGACTGGAACTCCTTACCCGATTCGGTAGTATCAGTTCCATCCGTGAACGCCTTCAAAGAGAAGTTAGATCTCTACAGAGATATATTTTGTAAGGATTAACACAGGCCACAAGAGCCTTCTATCCTTATCATGTGAATCTGAATCTGAAGCGGTACTCAACAGCGATATGATTTCTTCTTGGCTTTTGAACTCTCCTGCTATGTCCTCTAAGGTGTTCCGACCTGGTGGGAAGGGAAAGATAGAATAGGTCAGGTCCGTATTCATGGCTAACTCTGACACCTAAGTCCAAGTGAGTCTCAGCTGATGGAAGTGTTATTCCTTCTAATTCGTAGGGGCTGGTGCTTGCTTGTCCGATGCGCATGGCTGCACATTTTGCCACATTGATCGGAAGCATCCGTTTTATGGACCACCCTGACAATTTGTTGAGGTCCTCTTACAACGTGAACGTATCACTTTTGCACTTCAGCTCTCTCCAAAGGTTTTAGTCATCTGCGTATAGAACCACAGGGGAGTCGGTGAGCAGAGATAACTCACTGATATACAAAATAAATAGGAAAGGTTCGAGTACGCGCCTTGTGGGACTCTGCTACGTACTGCTGTCCAAGAGGAGAGCTTCAAGTTGATCCTAATCCTCTGCCTCTTATCTATGAGGAATTCCCTGAGCCTGTTTGGTAATCTGCCTTTGATACCAAGACTTTTCAAATTCATGAGTAGTCTTTTGTGGGGTACTTCATCAAAGGCTTTGCTGAAGCCAATGGTCCTTTGTGGACGGGGGTTACTATGGGGCTACTATGGCGGCAACATTCCATTTAGGAGAGATAGCATGAAGATCGTGGTCAAAGGGCCGGCTAAGTGAGCTGATGGCTCCTTGAGAAGCCTTAGATGGAGATTCTCAGGACCCACTGATTTCCCTGCATCTAGTTTCATTAAGCAGTTGAGTACGATTCCTTGGTCGAAGTCAATGGAATCTATCCCGTGTTCCTCTGATGCAGCCAGAGCTGATCATATAGGGAGTGATGATCCCTGGGTGAAGACTTGGGAGAAGTAGTCTGCCATCACTTCTGTCTTTTCTTGATCTTCTCCGATTGTATCATCGTAAATAGTCAGGTTCGGGACACCATTGGATGCTTTATTCCCAAAGTTCATGTACGAGGAAATTTTCTCAGGTTGTGCCTTTGCATTTTGAGCCAGATATGCCTCGGACTCCATCCTTGATTGGCAGATTTCTGCGATAGCTTTATTCCTAGCTATGTTATGTAATTTCCTGGTCTCAGGAGTCTCAATTGTGGCAAACAAGTTCCAACATTTGTGTTTACGCCTGAATAGCGTACGAATCACTCGGTTGATCCAATGGGTGCCATCAGCCAACTCTCAGAAACTGTCAATGTCCAGCTCCTAGTGTGGTGAGAGCAGGCTGCTAGCCGATTGGTTGACACTAAGCTACGTTAATATGGGCCGTGAGAAAATATGAGCAAGGCTGAGTCAACAACCAATCACAGCAAAGTTAACGTGGCAAAATATGATTCGCAGATAGAGAACTCTATTTGTCGAGGAATCCCGAAACAACCAATCAGAAGCCTGCGTTTGTCTGCCTAACTTCTGATAAACAACCAATCAGATGACTGCGCTTGTCTATAATAATGTATGTGAAATATGTATAAATACGTGTTGATTTTCATAATAAAACGATCTGTTGCCTGGCCCTTGTCTTCTGTTGTTACATTTGGTGTCGCTGCCTACCGACAAATGGAAAGCCTATGCCCTGCTGTTTTTGATGGAGACATATGGATTTTCGGGCAGGACTTCAAGGCTTCTGCGCAGTTGAGTGGCGTTCAAGATCTGTCAGTGATGGAGCTGCTACTTGGGACGCTGCTGGGAGGTCGGGTGAAAACAGCATATGAAAGTGTGAGACGAAATACTGACGAATGTTCGACAGGGTCAGGCAAACAGTTTCCAAAGTGGGAAGGACCATATATGCTCACTTCGAGATGGGGTTACGCAGACACAGTCGCAATGGCGAACAATAAGAGGCGCGTGAACGTCAGCGAGCTCCAGAAATGGATACAGCGAGACAAGCCAACGATGACGCCTGCACCAAGTAGATCAAGCCGACTTCAGTCGCACGTATTTGACGGGGGGACGAGTGTGGTGAGAGCAGGCTGCTAGCCGATTGGTTGACACTAAGCTACGTTAATATGGGCCGTGAGAAAATATGAACAAGGCTGAGTCAACAACCAATCACAGCAAAGTTAACGTGGCAAAATATGATTCGCAGATAGAGAACTCTATTTGTCGAGGAATCCCGAAACAACCAATCAGAAGCCTGAGTTTGTCTGCCTAACTTCTGATAAACAACCAATCAGATGACTGCGCTTGTCTATAATAATGTATGTGAAATATGTATAAATACGTGTTGATTTTCATAATAAAACGATCTGTTGCCTGGCCCTTGTCTTCTGTTGTTACACTAGTACGGTGGACCCCACGCTGTCCCATGAAGACTTTCAGAAAAAATTTGTATTAACCAACGCGAAAACCAGAACACTGATTGGCGATTCAACAATCCTTTATACTCACGCCAACATCTAACCAAAAATAAGGTTATTAGACACAAGGTCTAAGAACAAATGTTGTAACAATAAACCATGATAATACTTCTGATAGTTTTTTATCTTCCCCTGAACAGCGAACGATGAGACGATGACTGTTGTATTGATGACTCCCACGAAAGATATGGAGGAGTTTGGTTTGAGCAAACAACCATGAATTGATCGTTCAATCTTCAGTTACATTGACAGGGGCAATGTTTCTGACCTTTTGGGATAGACCAAGGGATAAAAGGTTCAGTTACATGGGCGTAAAGTTGTTTAAATTGGTTCCATGAGGCTTCCACTTGGGACTCTAGGTTGATGCGTCAGCTCACTGAGTTGACTGCTAAGACGATCGAATTTATATCCACTTTCTATACATTTGGTCGAGTTGGGATTTTGGTCTTTGCCGTTGTTGCCGTGAACTTGAAAGTGAGCACAGCATGATCAGCACTTCTTCCTAGAGGAGGAAGATGTTTGTGCGAGATCCACATCCTCACCGTGGGAGAACGCTAGGTCCAGAGTTTAGGAGGGGTGCTGTGAATCATAGTGGATCCTCCTCTATATTCAAGTGACGTTCTATTTTCTCCGGTTCTTCCCCCAGCTCTTTGGTTTTCGCCAGCCGGTCTCCGAGAATTTATGACACTAAACATAAGTCGTCCACAAGTGAAATCTAGATCTTCTAGAGTCTTCTAATCGGTCAGTCCAGAGTATTCCTGACTTCTCGATCCCACGTATATTAGGCCGCATAATCCAGTCCACCACAATTAGGAGTA